GGCTTCTTCAAAACTGACAGCTGACCAAAACCACCAGTTCCCCAATTGAACCTTTATAAAACATTGCTCCTAAACAAATTTTAAAGGGAGTAGACTAGGAAGGCACCTGATCCGCAATAATAAATTTGCTTTTGGGGCCTCTATTGTGAAAAGTTTTTTTCCACTGGAAAAAATGCACATGGAATCTCCCTTTACTTAGCTCCTGAGGCCAATGAAAGCTTGGGGCTTCTCTTGAGCTGAAGATCTGAGGCTGCAAAGCAAAAGGATTGCTGAGAACAATTACAAAGCACCTGAGAAAGGAAGCTGAATACAATCTATGAAAGGAAAATGAATACTACAATCAATTACAAAAGATCCCTCACCAGGAATCCAGATTTGTTTTGGTGATAGTTCATTATAGAGGTCCCCCTGTTTGTTTGAGGGGGGGGCCCTTTACTAATCAGGATCCAACATTACTGTGATACTACTGCCCTGCTGATACCACAGCAAACTAGGAAAGCAAAGAAAACAGCAAAATAGTTGAAAGGCTGTAGCTGGTTCAGCAGATAGCTCTCTGGTGCGGGTGGACCCAGCCGCATAGCGGCGCGAATAAACAAACAGTACCAAAAAAATGCCCTAGCATGCGTGTGACCAAACAAAAGTTCTATTTAAGTCAAGCCTTGCTGAATACTCGTGTGTTCCATTTTGAATAACCAGCACGTCTGAAAAAGGCCTCTGCGTTCGATGACTGGCACATGGGAAAAAACAGGTACTGCAGGGACACAAGTAAAGCATCTACTTTGTTGGCGATTTCATCCACTGCAAAGTCCTATCATCCTATCTGCTTTTGAGCAAGTTGAGCTCCGCACTGCGCTTCGGGGGTGCCGCTGATGCAACCGCTCTCCGCATCAAGGGTCAAGCCCTCAAGTGGTTGGTTGCAGTATGCAGCTTCGAACATGTTCAGACCATGGCCATCCATGTGCCCCGTTAGCGTGGATGTCGCCCAACAATAAGGTCCATTCTTGGTATTGAGGTGGTGCAGGCTACTGTCCGAGGCAAAGATGAGAGTACGTGAAGTTTGTGCGAAGAAAGTCGCAGTTCCTTATTTACATCCATGCGAGTGAGCAATCTTGAGTGGTGATCGACACTGACTATGCTGCTCCAGCCTCTTTCGGATCACCCTGCCTCTGGCAGAGCTGGCTCCACCATGAAGCGGCAATCTGACCTCAGCGGCGGCACATCTATTTGTACACTTTTGTGGGCTGGGCTCAACAACTTCACCGGTGCTCTCTGGTGTGGTCTGTTTCTTTTTTTTGTGTCTATTGTCGTTGTTTTTCGTTTTTTTGCCCACCCTCACAAGTAGGCGCCTACTTAATTAAGTAAGGGCTAAGTAAGCTACAACCTGCTGGACGCAGGATAGCTCACGCTTCTTCTTCAAGGAAGCTCCCCCTGCCGCCCGAAAGCCCGCACGATTCATTTGGTTCCTTCGCTACTAGTAGCTTCTTGTTACTAGTAGCGATGGCCTCCAACATACTTGCGATGGCCTCCACCTAATAGCGTAGACTAGGTTAGATGTTCTGTAAAAAATGGTCTTGTCGCTGTCAAAAATCTGTGGAGCTGGTACAAGTCTTGTAGCAGGCCTTCAAGCCTTCGAGGGAAGAACCTCTTCCACAGTATCAAATGAGAGTCCTTTCAAGTAGCGTCCAAAAGCAACAAAATAGGCCTGCAGAATCCATTCAGCTCTTGAACATCTTGGATTGGATTCGCTTCCAGAATTAAAAATATGTTTGAGATCCTCATAGATCCTCTACAATTCCAGTTCACCCCAGCTGCCCATGCTCCCTTGTCACGCCGTCCATCGCATTCTGGCTCAAGCAGCCCCTCCAACTCGGCTTCGATGGACACCGGCTCGCCCAAGGCATATGAGAGGCTGGCACGTTCAAGGATTTCGAATCCCATCGGTTCAACCACCTAGTACAGTAACCAGAAAGAGAAACTCTCTCCTAGCCAAACAATTTGCGGTTCCTAGATTTGAGGGACATTCAATTCTATTCGGCTGTACTAAACATGTGCAGTTCATGCTGCATCTCAGGATCGATTTTCTAACTGCAATCATATCAGCCACTTCTACACTCCATGCATGCGCACGTCTCGGGCCTAGATCCCAAAGCCCACTGTTTGACAAGCATCAGCACTGCAAAACGAATTTGGAACCTAAAACCAATCAAAACATGACGGCTTCCAAACCCCACTAAGACTAGTAGACAGCATGGTCCTGTAGCTTGCCTTGCCATCGGATAGCTCAAGTTGGACGGAGGTGGAACGACCTGGGGACCAGTGAGTTCTGGGCCCATAGAACTCGCTGGTGACATCAAAGTCGCTTTGATTCAATATATTCTGATGTGATGCCTTCGTGACTGTTGGTGTAAACAAACATTGCAAGCACTGTGTGACTGCGTCACTCAGAGTCCAGGCCACGATGAATATCAGCTCAGTGCTGGTGGCATTGTCCTGCACAACAATACAACGCACTGCCGGTGGCTGTTTCATAAGACAAAACGAAGCGGTGAAGGGTGCGCTGACATATTTCCAAAGTTCCCAACAAGCAAAACATGATGTGCACACACTACCCTACCCGACGGCGTGAAGATTGATCTCCAATGAACACGTTGCTTGCGTTTCATCCAACCCTTGTCATGCAACAGTGAAGAAAGGTTCTGGTGAAGAAAAACAAAACTTATAGCTTATATTAAATTACTTGGCATCAAAAGTGTTGCACTGGGCGCTAGACGCAAGTTGCGCGTGCTGAAACATCAAAAACTACACTGGTGATAGACCAAGCTCTCCCATGCCGTTCACTCACCACTGCCGCACTAAAAACCACGCTGGCAAACAAGAAAGCCGGGCTTATACACACATCCTGAAATATATTTTCCAAGGAAGCCCCGGCTATGCTGGTCCTGAATTTTATCTTGCGAGGAAGCTGCGTTTACACAAATCCTGAAAGCCCAATTTCCAAGAAGCTGCGGTCACGCAAATCCTGAAATCCTCTTCAAACAAGCAGCAGCTACGCAAAACCTGAAAATCCTCTCCTCACGCAGCCACATATCCTGAAGTTCCTCTTCCAGTGAAGTCGCAGTTACACAAATCTTCAAACCCCTCTTGCCAACAAGCAGTTACAGAAATAATTGGTTTCTTTCCCAGGTTGCACAATTCGAGAAATTTTCCCCTGCCAAACTCGTCTTGCCAGGAAGCTGCGGATACAGAAATAATGACATATCTTCCAACACGTCGCAGTGGAATCCCTGTTCACACTTTGGCCGAATACAAAGTTGTTAACCGAAAAGGGCGGAAGGCCGAAAGTTCCGGAGACTCCAGCTAGGCTAGGAAGCCGCGGAACTACACGAATCCCCTGCAATTTCTCTGCCCGGAAGCCGCGGATACACACATCATCAAAATCCGGATGCTTTCAAGATCAAAGTGTCAAGTGTCAAGCTGTCGTTGAAAGTGGACGCTGGTGATGCCAAAGTGTGAAACTGTCGTAGTACAAAAGTAGTGCGGGGAGGGAGTGGCTTCTGGTTGCTCCGGGCTGAGAACTGGCGTCTTTGTGAATGTAACAAACGCAGGAGCTTAGGGATATAGCGCGCGGGGAGGCACGGGCTCACAACACCATTAAGTTTTGCGCCGCCTTGCTGGAAAGTGCGTTCGCGTGGCTCTGCACCATTGGGGAAAAGAAAAGCTGCGCGCGTTAACATGGCGCGGCTGGTGAGCCGGATGATTGGGTCAACTAGGCTTCGTGAAAACCCTAGTGAATAGACGGGCCGCCTCGAATGGAAAAGTGTGAACAAATGCACGCACGCGGTGACCAGATCTCCAAAAAATGACTTGGAAAATGACAACGAAAACTATGATCGAATTATCAAAAATAATCGTTTTATCCTGGCATGTCTCAGCCGCCTTCCAAAAATTCTGCTCACCTACATGTACTGCATTTGTTGTGTTTGTTTGTCTGTCGTCATGTCGGACCACTGCAGGGACACTGGTGCAACCTGTGGGCCTGGCATGGCCTGGCCACTGGCAGTCTTGGCGTCAGTGGGTTGTCTGTGTCATTGTTTGTTCTCTGTCGTCGTGTCTGTTTGTCATTGGGCTGGCAGTGGGCTCAAGAATCTACCACAAACCTGTCGGGTGAGAAAAAATGGACGGAGCACTGGCAAGACACTGGTAGTTTAAATGGGTCGGAGCGACTGGCGAGGTTGGATCACTGGTTGTGGCTATGTTTGGTGTTGCAACTATGTGTGTTCTTATCTGTCTGCTGTCGGGTTTCTCTGGGTTCGGCGGCAGGTACTATATATCTTGTGTTGTGGTTATGTTTGGTGTTGTCATTAGGTGCAACATTGTGCTTGTGTGTGTGTCAATGATTTTGTCCGCACTCGCGCTTGCCATTGTGTCAAATGTTATGTTTGGAGGGATGGTGGGATGTGTTTTATATGAGTCATCGCTTGTCTGATGTTGTGTTGTCTGTGCTTATGTTTGGTGTTCTCATGGTGTGTGCGTGTGTGTGTGTGTCACACCCTGATTCTAAGGGTTCCCCACCTTCACGTTTT